TGGCGTATTCTTGACTCATCTCAACGCGTACGGACGCGGAGGAAAAAGAAAGTCTTCTCGGAAAGATCTTGGGATCTTCTAGGTCGGGAGACCACTGTAGCATAAACACCCCCAGACGACTGGAGGTGTATGCACAGTTCGACCTGTAGACCCCGGATCGGAGAAGGGGTGAAGCGGGCCAACCAGCTAGGGAACCGGGCTCGGGCCCGGGTAGCGGTGGTAGAGCGGGAGCGAGCAAGGACGCGTGCACGCACGAGCGGATCGACGCCTCGACGCCCCGGAGCAGCACTGGGTGACGTATCAGTGCTGACGGGCGGAGGCGGTTCCGTGCTCGCTCGCATGCTGCACGTCCACTCCGGCTCAGCTCCGACTAAACGCGCGCGAAGAGCGAAGGCGACGTTTAGAATAAGCTGGGTGAACTGACCTTGGCGGTCGGTTGAGGACAAGCCCGTGCTTGTCCCTACCCGCCGCCGTCGGTCCGCACCATATTTAATATACAAAACAATCTATCATAACACTACAGTACCGAGGTACTGTAGTGGACTACTGTAGTGCAGGTCGGCCTGCACTGTAATACTGTCAGCTATGTCGAGGCTGACAGTACACGTATTACCGGTGGTGCGTGCGCGCTTCGTTCACGCGTGGTACACGTGTACACGTGTATGCGCATGTCTCTTCTCCCCGTGGTGTACACGTGGACACGCGCGGTTGGACTGTAGAGCGTCGAGCTCTACAGCAGGGGATCCTGTTGTTGATCTAATCTAACTAAAAAGGCCCCAGGGGGGTTATACTATACGGCCCCCCCACAAGTGTGAACGTCCGCGTTCACATGTGCTTGTAGGGTGGCTCGTGTTTTCCTTTCCGTCTCGACTCCAGCGAGGTCGCCTTCCCTGCCTGTGGTGCGCTCGTCCTCTTTCCTCCTCTACTCTGGTCCCCGCCGCGTCTTGCGGTGTCAACACGCGCCAAGGCGTATGGGTTTTTGCCCGCTCGCCCGCGCGTCGAGCGCGGCGACTGCCGCTGTAGAGGATTCGTCGCCCTCTGGCGATCCAGGCGCGTGCCATGCGGAACGACCCCGGTCTTCGGACGGGCAGGGAGAATGGGCGTCCGTTGGTCCTCGTCGCCGATATCGGTGGCGCGCCGGAGCGGCTACCTTCTCTTTTTTTTTGTTCCCCCAGGCGGCTAACCGGCGCGTGGATCTGCGTCGATGAGCGGCGCGGGTGATGCCCTTATCTTTTGTACTGCTCGCCGTCGGCGGCGAGGCAGGGCGTGCGACCGTCGTTCTTCTCAGGGTCCCCTCGCCGTCGACGGCGAGGGAACCGCGCGGGGCTGCTCTTATACTTGGTACGTTTCGCCGTCAGTGGCGAGGTCCTGATACCTGACCGTCGAGGGCGATCAGTCGGGGAGGTCGCTCCCCTCTTCTCATTTACCGACATCGTCGTGAGGTGCGGTGGGGAATGACGAGCATGCATGTACGAGCATGCGCCCGCCTTCGTCGGTTTCGTCCCGTCGACGATCGCGAACCTTTCGGAAGGTCGCTCGCGCGGCGTTCCTAGTTCACACTGATCCCTCGAGTTGTGGGCGGGTTACTGGGGAGAGTCTTCTTACCCCCGACCTCCCTCCGTGTTGGGAAGTCGTTCCCGTCTCGTCCGGCCCGCCTTGCTGTCGAGCGCAGGGGGTCGTCCCCCCCTACGCTCGACAGCAAGGCGGGCAAGAATTGAACTCTATGCGCTGGATACCGGGAAATATTAATCCTGCTGACAGTGTCAGGAAGCGCAACCTTAAGACATACAGGATTCTCAACGACCTCCTGTCTAAAGATGTCATCAATATTGACTTGGAATCTGGATACGCATTAGATAGCGAGACATGGAAATAATAAGACGTCGTTTATTGGAGAGTTCGTCTCCGTCACACTTCGGTAACTATGACGACTGGGGGGATGTAGCTGATACAACGAGACAAGCTGTCCTGATAAGAACCACCACACGAGATGTGTGGAGTCACTGTGAATTGAGAGTGTCAATTAATGCGTACTTGTGAATGCAAGACAGTGCATTGATACATGTGGGACCACGAAAGGTCTAGAGATAGTGCTGAGAGACTAGCAGGATGACCACGGAAGGTCTACAGCTAGTTTAGGAGCTGTATATATAGAAGCCCACTAACGGGAGTTAGAGGGGAAGATGATTAAGAGAGAAAAGGGACCGAGTTCAGTTAAGGACTCGGGAGTACTGGGTACTCTTTCGTTGTGTTCGTAGCAGTAGTACTTGAGCCAATCCAAATTATCAATATGCCTCATTCCGAGGAAACCACAACAGTACACTATGTGTTGTATAGGGGTGAAACTCCACGGGAAATAGCGCGCGTCTGTAAGCACTTACTGACAGCCGGGCGTCTCGCTGTACGAGCCTCGCCGCCGACCCATAAGTAGTAAAAGCGAGCTGTCCTATCCCGCTACCTCTCCTCCCTATGCCTATTTCTCTCCCACCCATCTCCGGCACTCCCGCCCTCGTGTCGTGTCTTCTTTTTCATCATGTCTTTTTCTCTTTCTTTGTTTTCCTTTTGAATCTTTCGTCCTTTTTAATGTTTGATTCGTCCTGTTCTACTGTAGCGCTACTGTGGCATGTTGGATCCTGTTTAGCTGATGTCCCACTGACCATCAAACATCGTAAAACTACGAATATCTTCAGTACATGTACACCCAGTTACCGTAATTAGTGTCATCATGTGAATAGCGTCACTACCCTAATAGTGTCACTGACACTATTTGTTGTGCCTCTAGAAGGGACGAATTTATAATTAGTGTCATTAAACCGCCGGTTTACAGTGTATACAAACTTTGGGCTTTGGGTACGTGGCACGTACACAACAAAAATACGGTACGCGTATTATTGTTCCTGTATTTGTTGGCGCGCGCCGCACACTTCTTCAAAGTGCGCCATTTCCTTACCCGAAGATCCCATGCAAAGCACCATCAACCTCGCCGCTTTTCTATCCATCCTTCCTACAATCCCATCAACCAATGCCCGTGCGGGGATCTCCGATCCAGACCGCTTTCGAGCGCGGCGCTTCTCTTGCTGCTGCTGCGAGAGAAGCTGCAGCAGCCACAAGCAATGCAGGCCCTTCCGACAACGCCAACTCATCACGTCAAAATCCAAACGCATCCATCTCAGCCCCTGGAAACCCAGCTCCTTCTCAAGCTCCCATTGGAAGGACATCTTTACAGCATGTGCTAAGTATATCGCAACATATCCGTATCTGTAAATGGATGATTCAGACAGTTACTTCATCAACCGATGGCAACAAAAATATACCTATACGAGCAGTGCGCCACTTTCCCGATCTCTTTCGAGAAAAACACAACGCAAAAATCAAGAAAGTAAGTCGAATTTAGGGCAACAGATCAAAGTACATGGCGATGGGTGACTTGGATGCGCAGATGTCATCTCGACACAATCTGACTATAACACGTAACAAAACGTTTGGACTTAAACGAATCAGCTTGAAAGACATTTCTGGTCGAGGACGCAAGCTTGCAGCATGAAAACAAGCATTATATCGGGACTGGCGATCCGAATTTGACCGCCTAAGAAAACTTGACGTCAAGTTTAATTATAGGAACTTGGGTGCTCTGGGAAAACATATTTTGGAGAACTCTGAGACAGAAGAATACTCTGCCAACATGACGGTTGATGCCACTGGTAAATGTGTCATTGATGTTGTGACAGGCCGTTTCGTGCAAGCCTTTGCAGATGCCTTTCGCATACACAGTCGATCGCAGTGCGAGAAAAAGAAGCCATCGCCAGCCAAGGAACTGCAGCTTGAGAAGGAAATAGCACATCACCTCGGTCTCGTTGCACGACTATTTCGTGGTAAGCATATTGATGAGAATGATGTGGAGAATGCCGATGAGACTCATTTCATAATCGAAATGGACAAAGGTTATACTCTAGGGTTCACAGGCGACGAAGAAGTGAAATACGCAGATGTCGTCTCGGGTGGTGAAGGGATGACTATGCTTGTGCGTTTAAGTGGTGGTCGCGACTCGAAAATAGAACCTCCCTTCATAGTTTTTAAGAGCAAGGGACGCAATTACCCGATTAAGGGTACACCTGATGATGTTGCTGGTGTTGCGTATCGCACAGGGCCGAAGGGGGAGTTGATAAAACAGTGTTGCCTTAGTGGCTCCAGGAACGGAAGGTGATGTGACGGCTTCCACATCAGAGGCAGCGCACGATGTTCCTGGACAATTGCATTTGCCATAATCAGACGAAAGCACAATTAAAAGCTTTGAGAGAGATTAACACGAAATTGCCCTATTTCCCACCGAACACAACGCACCTGTTGCAACCATGCAACTCGTTTATTATCCAAAAAATCAAAGTTGAATGGCAGTCGCTCTGGGAGGAGTACAAGATGAATCAAATCATGAACAACCAATGAACGGATGCATCGGGGAGGATCAAGAACCCAGGAAAGCAATTTTTTCCTGGAGCTGGCAAAGAAGGCTACGGATCGTGTCAACAGGCAACGCGATGAGAACGGGATATCGTACGCTTGAAAGGCCATGATTATGTGTGGCCTGGCCCTCAACACAAACGGACAGTGGGAAGAGAAGCAGTTAACCCCTAAACTGCAAACATTATACGAAAACATCGTCGTTACTTCGACGGGGAGGCAGTCCACCCCGATCAGGAAGACGCTGTGACCCCCTCCAGTTTTGATTAATACATGTGTACCTTTAGAATTGTGACACTAAAAGCGTGCAAAACAATAGTGTCAGTGACAGTATTTACAGTTTCCCCTAAATTAGTGGCACTACGGTTATAGTGTCACTGACAGTATTTGTTGTGCCAGCAGATTAGAATACATCACTGAATTAGTGTCAGTGACACCAATTACGGTACCTGGGTGTACAGTACAGTATTTAGCTTCTACTAAACCAAATGACACCTGTCCACGTTTTTCATATTTACAGATCTGTAAGGGAGGAGGGTGTATCATTCATGCAAAACATGCCAAGTGGTCAAATGGACAAGAAGTAATTTTCTCGTGAAAGGTTTGAGCCTCAAATTTGATCCACACTGACCAATCAGGTACTGTAGTACGCAAAATTGCACCGTGAGCTTCAGTTGATGCAGCGACGATGCCAGACGGCCTTGCTTGTTCTCGTGGTGGTCCTCGTATTCGGGTAAAAGGACTTGAAACATCACGGTCGACTCGGCTTGAGGTTCCAATTCGGGCTTCGTTCGGGGCACTGAGTCATCTTTATCGAAACAGCTTGCAGGAACGCGAGCGGCGATGCCTGAGGACGAAACCCCCGAACAGGTCGCTTCTAGCACCTTCACAACATCAGGCGAATCACCGCGCCACCTGTCGACCAGCGACATCTTCGACAACAACAAACCAAATGATAACACTCCGCAATTCATGTGGCCCCCCCCGCCACCCGCCGACTTCCAGAAACCTCCACCATGGCTCGTCATGATCAACAAAGGCACGGAGTCATGCATGTTCAAAGCGGCCTTGTCCGGCACCGCGGGCGGCGTCATGGGGTTACTGTTTGGCCTATTCTTCGGGGGATATTCCCAGGCAGTGGACAAGGCCGTCGAGATGGAGGGTTCTGCCGCCCTCAAACTGCGCGTCGGCATGAAGGAAGCCGGGCGCGCAATGAGCAGCTATGCGAAGAGTTTTGCGATGTTTGGCCTCGTTTTTTCGGGCGCTGAATGTACCGTCGAAAAGGTCAGGGCGAGGCATGACATTTGGAATTCCATTATCGGCGGATGTGTTACGGGCGCTGTCATGTCGTCGCAACCTAGGCAGAGCATTCCGCATCGGGCAAGGGCTAGTCAGATGGCCGTGGGTTGTGGCGGAATGGCAGCCTTTTCGGCGGCGATTGATTACTACATGGAATATATGGAATAACACAGAGAGCGCCACTAGCTCCTTGATATTTGTTCTGCAACCACGTCTCAGATCTGCGTCGTGCAACGTGGTTGCAATTTTTGATACTTCCCTGGGGTCAAGAAAACTGTAGATGCTGGACAGGAAACGTCCGTACCGCTGCTCCGCACCGGCGGCGATTGTGCTCGCTCCTAGAGTGTGAATAAGGGTCGTGTGATGTCACTATACCATACCTCAACACTTGAACAATATTCGCAAAGGCCAGGCAAGCGCAGAGCAATCGCGGTGGTAGTTTTCCTCAAAGGAACTGCCCACGGTTATTTTCTCTCGATGACGGGCTGTGACGATCTGCGGGTCCTCGCGTCTGCTGCCAGAACCCTGCTCCGATTTATAGCTACTTATCCAGAGATGCAGAGGGAGGCCTAATGTGAATCGCCTAGAACTTGCCGATGATCTCTGCAGGAAAGACTACGAAGTGCGAGGCCTTTTTAAGTCCGTAGAGCACCACGATCATAAGTTGCACTTCCTTCTTGTAAACGTGGCTTTGCTTGAGATAAATATGATCCCATTTTTTTGATCTCAACCTTCCCATTTCAAACGTGGGCTTTCCCCAACCGGTTTGCGCACGTTGTTCGTGAGATTTTAGGCGTACGGCAAGCCAAGGAGATGGCATTCCTGAGCAACCCAGCTTCCCTACCGACAGACAAAAGCGTCAAAAAGTCAACATCATGTCAGGCAAGAAGGGTTTCTCTGTCCGCTGCAGGTCGGGGCACTCGCGATGCCAGAATTGCGCCTCCAAGTACCCTGGATTGTCTTTCTACCGCGAAGATTGCAGAACAAATGGTGTCTCGAAGAATGCTGACAGAGAGAGATGCCAAACTGTTCGTGATGCTTTCTGATTCACGGGCTAGCCTTTTTGAGAAGGTTCTACGCAACCGGTCTCGTCATATCACGTTAGCGTTGGATGGTGTCTTTGGAGCACATAACCTTGCTGCAATTGTTCGGTCCTGCGACGCGTGGGGATTGCAAGATTTGCACATCATTGCGCAGCCAGAGGAATACGTGCCGAATCCAAAGGGAGGACAGCCTGAACCTCCTCGATACGAATCCTTCCTCAAGATGATACAGAAGGACGTATCTGTTCGGAAAGTCTCCAAAAGCAGTGACAAATGGGTAACTATTAAGGAATATGACGGGGTTAAGTCTTGTGTTGGTGCACTACGGCAGGCTGGGTACAAGATTTTTGTGTCCTCTCTACGGACTGATGCAAAGTCTATTCATGAAGTAGATTTAGGATCGAAATGTGCCTTCGTTCTTGGAAACGAACGGCATGGCGTCACGGCAGAAATGGAATCAGAAGCAGATGAATTGTTCACTGTCCCGATGATGGGATTCGTGGAGAGCATGAATGTCTCTGTCGCTGCGGGAAACATCGCCTGCCTTACAACCACCAAATGCCGGAATGAAATCCACAATTCAGAGTACTTCATTTCATCAACAGAGCAACGAGAGCTCGCCCATACATGGCTCATGGAGCGGTTTACTTCGACAAAGACACCGAAACGAGTGGTCGCTCTGCAGGACGTAACAAGGCTTGGGTACAGGACTGAGAGAACGATTGTTAGTAAGGGAATGTTTGCACAGGTCGAAGACCAGTCATTGTCAAGAGGATCATATTGGCCTTTGGCATTGAGGCTAACTGTTAGTGAAGGGAATCAAGTTGTGAGAGAGTTGTCGCGAAGAAAAGTTGGGGCTCTTGGTGACACTTCGCACAGGAAGAGATGCGAAGGTATCAACTACTTTCTCAGTAGCACGCATGCCCTGAGCTGCGAGGCAGCTATTGCCCACTCAGGACCTGCCATATCAAGTAGAAAGAGTCTGTATGAGTTTTTCGCGCTTGCTTGCAATGAAGTACACCAACTATACGCCCCAAACTTTGATCAGTTCGGGGTGCCTATTCTCCCAGTGACATTTGAAGAATCCGGAAAGGTATTCCATGAGCTTGCGCGTTCTGCTCCAAAAACGGCTCGAAATGCATGCCTTCAATTTACTGCTGATGTTCTTGGTGTGCCTGGAAAGGATGTGGAGGCACTCGTCCAAAAGGCCGGTGCTATTGACGTCGCATTATGTATAGCAGATATGACGCGGTGCGGGGAGACAAGAGCGGCTGAACTCGAAGCTATCGCGCGGCGGAAGGATTTTTATGAGGACGCTGTGCGGGAAGTCGTGCTGGAGCGACATTTTGAGCGGGATATGAACACGTTTGACTTGAGCGTTAGTTCCCCTTGCCAGTTGGATCAGAAAGAGCGCGATTGCTTACAAATTCTCCTGCGCATATGCAATGCAGCGTTTCTATGCTCTGAGGTTTACCAAACAGTATGGGATCGGCATATAAGGCGTGGCAACGTCGCAAGAATTCATTCTCTAGATTTTAATCTATTAGAGTCCCTGAGCTGTGATGCGTTTCAAGAAATGCAAGTGCTTGGAGTTGCACACGAAGTCGCGCTTGCGCGGGTCCTGTTTGAATGGGAACGAGCATTGTTTCGGCTCAAGAGATGCTTTGCAGATGACGTGTAGAAGGGGATAGGCTCATCGCTGGCGTACAGATGTTGGCGGAGGAAAGTTTGCCTGGAGACAAAAGTTGCAGTACAGCTCTGTACCTCCGCTTTTTGCGTGAACAAAAGTATTGCGTTCACCGTAGATTGCCTCGAGGCCGCTCTGTGGATTCACTCCAGACCGGAGTAATGGCGTCCGTTACCGGATTCTTGGCGTTCAGCAGAACCTCGACGGTGACTTCTTGCTGGTCTATGTCCCTTGGTCTCTGTACATTTTGGCTATCGGGGGCAGGGTTTGATTGCGTTTGCCGAATGGGATTTGACGCTAGAGATTTGTTCTCCTTCATTTCATTCTCATCAAGAGGTACCGCTTCCTTGGAGCGGACTGATTGAAGCTGGCGGTGCGTGGGCTCATCATTCTGCTTATTTGTGCCACGGTCTCTTCTCCTTTGCCTCATAGAAAACGTCCTTACATCTCCATCGGGCTGGTCAAGCAGCTCATTCTCAATTTGGATAACCTCCGCGCTGAGCACGTTTAGGTAAAAGGGGTCTCTGCTCAAAATGTTTTGGAAGCTGTCGCGTGGTTGCAATATTGTGTTCTCACGGCTCGATGGGCTGCCACGTTCCGAGTCAATCTCTATATGAGGAAACTTCTCGGCGAGGGGCATACGTTGAAAGTTTTCTTCAAGCGGATGACTGCTCTCTCGATACCAGTCCTTACTCGAGGTGGACGCTTGCAACGGGGAGGTGTTTCTGCGGGACAAGCGTTCAGCGCTACAGCCTGGGAATGAACCCTGTTTATGACGATTCCTTGATCTCGGTTCACTTGGCTCGTCAGCGAGCATGAGTGGTTCGGTGTGGATGTTCTGCAACGGCCTGGCGATGCAGCCTTGTTGGGTGACCCTTTCCTCCAGGCCTGTAAGACCGTTTGAAGTACTTCGAAGTGGATATACTTCGGAAGAACCCGGCAAGTCTGGCACTTGTTCATCATCAAGGCGGTGTATCCGTGTCTCGATTTGACGTAGAGAAGGGCTCAGGAGAGGGATGCGATCAAAAGCAGAACTTTCAGAACAAGGGGGCCCAGTATCATGTCGGAACCGAAAAGCTCTTGTGAAACTACGGCGATGTGAGTCTGGGATACTGTCAACTCTCTCTTGTGGAGAATGTTCTCTTTCGTCTTCACGAGGGCGTCTAAGGTTTTGATTTGCGATTTGAGGTTTGAAACGCTTTCTGGAGCGCTCCTGTTGTAGGCGATGCGCATGAGGAGGATTCGGTTGAATTGAAGCGTTCAATGGCCGTTTGCGAGTATTCCCCGTGTGCTCGCTGTTTAGAAAATTGGATGGCAGAGTTGGGTTTCTAAAGCGTGGGGTGATCTCCTCTTGGTCCTCAAAAATTCGCAGGTCATTGGTATTAGCTTCAGTATGATGCAGTCGCTGGAGACGGATAAGGTCGGAAGCGTCCTCTTCGATGCGCGGAGATGGCGTAGGTGGCACGGCATGGACGTTTCTTTCGTCGCGAATGTGCTTTCGCCTCTTCGGATGAGGACTTGCAGCGGCGGAATGCAAAGTGTTAGGATCGGCAAGAAAGAGCAAGTCGGCGCTGATGCGGTATGGGCGTTTCGGAGGACGATTGGCCGGACGCAAGGGTTGGCGGTTGCGGCGCTCCGGTGCTCTGGTTGCTTGCAGGAAGTCGTTGAGCATCGGACGTGCGAGTGGATTGTGGAGCAGCTGAGGATTTGGGTTCCTCTGGTTTTGCTCCTTGCGGCGTCGCGCGAAGAACTGGCGCTGGCGAGCGATGGGGTCCCTCTTCTCGACGACGACGCGGCGCCTAGAGTGTGTGGAGGAGAAGAGTTAGTTTGGTGAACGACTACAGGTGGGCATGCGAGGTTTGGGAATAAACGAAACGAATGGGTCTCACCTTTTTCCTCCCATCCATCCTTTCATTTGTCGGTGTCACGAGTGGCCGCTTTTGGAAAGCCGCGACTGCCTGAAAGGATTAATTAATGGAGTGAGTCGATGCTTTCCTTTATACACATCTCGGGGAACATAAAGTGCATCCAAACCTTCCTCCAATCTCCTGCTAATCTCTCCGGAAGGTTGAATGAAACGAAACAACACGACCCTGCCAAGTCACCGATATCACACGTGGCAACGTGTACATTCCCGCACCGTCTCACCACGTCGCATCCTGTCTCATACACGATGCCACCTTTCCGGGTCTGTCATTCGAGACACACCTCATCGCCAGCCATGCAAATCCGTTGATCGCGTATGGGTCACCACCAACCTCCTTCTCCCAGCTGATAAAGGAGGCCCTGACCCGCCCCACCTCCTCGCCATGGTTGCGTTGCGCGTCCTGCAGTCCGCCGTGTGGCGCTCCTCTCGCGTCTTCAACCATCTACATCCCCGATCCCCTGCGCTGGCAGCTGCCTGCGCGGAGATCACCCAAGCGGCGCCACTTGCCCGCGCGGTGCCGCGCCAGCAGGGGTTCGCCGCGCTGGCCACGCGCTCAGTCACGCGCTCAGCCACGGGCGACAAGGGGGATCCGTCACACGTAGCTGCCGTTTCCGATGCCGCACTGCGGGAAAAAGGGCTCCGACTGCGTCTCGACGTCGAGGCTTCGGCCCTCATCGACGCCCATCGCGAGGCCCTGCGCGCTGTGCTGGCAGCAATACAGCACATACCGGAGGCGTCGGAGCGTGATGTGCGCCTGGTGAAGACGGAGATCGCCCGCCTGGGGGATGGCTTCTTCATGCTCGTCGTGGCGGGCGAGTACAATGCGGGAAAGTCCAGCTTGATCAACGCCCTGCTGGGGAGGGACGTGTTGCCAGAGGGGCCCACCCCGACAACGGCAAAGGTCACCAAGCTCAAGTATGCCGATCAGTCATCTTCGCCGTACATGGATGAGCATGGCGTGCTGGTGCGGGGCGAGCCCGTCCGAGTCCTCGCCAGTCGGCTGCAGATCGTCGATACGCCCGGCACTAACGCTATCGATCGCAGCCATGAGGCCTTGACTAAGGAGTTTTTGCCGCTGTGCGATATCGTTTTGTTCGTCACATCCGCCGATAGGCCGTTCAGTGAGAGCGAGAGGCTCTTTTTGGAGAGCATTCGAACGTGGGGGTAAGAACGCTCGGTTCGTCATTTTCAATGTGTGCCGTGTGCGATTGCTGTTCTTGAGGTTGTGGGCTTCTAACGTTCATGCTTTTCTCCTTCGTGTTTTCTTCTGCCATTGCGCATTTTCTTAGGAAGAAAGTGGTATTGGTCCTCAACAAAATAGACTTGTTGGAAGGGAACCAAGCTAAACAAGAGGTCGTCGATTTCGTGTCTTCCTCAGCAAAAGCACTGCTTGGCAACGGATCCAGGCTCTTCGCTCTTTCGGCGAAACATGCCAAGCAAGCAAAGGAAGCTACGTCCGACGAAGAGGACAAACGCTGGGGGTCCTCCGGCCTTGCCCAGCTTGAAGAGTACATAAACGAAGAATTGGATTCTATCGAACGACTTCGTCTCAAGCTCAGAGCCTCAGCGTCCGTTGGAAAAACCGTCGCAGGCAAGTACATCGCCGTTCTCTCCGGAAACAAAACCATCATTGACGCAGACATGGACACGGTCCACAGAATCGAAACACTGCTCCGACGGCACGAAGAAACTTTACGAAAAGGATATCCAGGTCATTTTGCCCGTGTAGATAATGTCCTGTTGGAGGTCCTCGACAAAGCCGATCTTTTCTTTGATACACACGTCCGCGTGAGCAACGCTTGGAGCCTGTATAACAAATCTGCGATGGAGCAAGCTTTCGAGGAAGAAGTAGTTAGCGGAATGAGAAAGTCTGTGCAGCGACAAGTGCAAAGCTTGGGTGAGTGGCTGGCTGACATGTCATCTCAAAACCTTACTGAGACAACGGCGATCTTCTCACGACGAATAGGGGAGCGAGCTCGGGAGATCGCTGCTATGAACAAGGAAAAGGGGATTGATGCTCAAGACTCATCCTTGCAATTCTCAAAGTATCCATCCGGTAGAGATATCGAAGGGACACGCGGTCAAGAGCGTTTAGTAACTCGGTTGACTGAAGTTTCGGAGGACCTCTCCAACGAATACATTTCTAGAAGAGAAGGCAAGAAAATCGCTGAGAGAATCTCGAAGTCTATACGGCTCAGTGCAGGCCTTGGCCTCGCTTCATTTGGCTCCATGTCCATGTTCTTGATGAACTCGTCGTCTTTCGCACCGGCAATGCTTTTTGGAGACCCCACAATTCCAGTTGTCGCGAGTGTTCTCGGAGTCCTAGGGCTGGCGACTGTTCCACGGCAGAGAATGTCACTCAGATCAGAGCTTAGAGCTCGTGTAATGAGTACCCGCACCCGTTTGCGGAATGAGCTCCGTGGCCGACTCGAAGAGCAAATGGGAGCGCATGTGTCGGGGATTCGAGATGCACTGCAGCCCTTTACAGACTTTGCAGACAGTCAAAATCGTGGCATCAGTACGCGAATGGCCGTCGTTCAGGACTCACTGAGTCTTGTGGAAGGCCTGGACGACAAAATCGCTAGAGCAGACATGTTCAAATCGTCGAAAAGTAACGAGCGATAAACCTGTTTGTCAGAGCGAACAACTACCGATGTCCAGACGCCGTGGTCATTCACACGTCGTTTGATACCCTTCGGAGGCAATGACAGGGACGCAAATCAACCAACGCAACTACCTCTGGAGAGGAAAATGAAGTCTGCGCCTGCAGTCAAGTGGACCCGACCTCGTTGCCGCACACTGCGCTCGCCCGCTACACTAGTTCTGTGCCTTTGCAACCATCATGAATACTGAAGCATAGGATGGAGAACCAATATTGCTGTGTTACTCTAGATCGACGGCATATGATCATGCTCTGATGGGAAGAAACGTCTTTTGCCTTGCGCACGCTTGGTTTTGGCGCCTGTTTCTACGTTACCTACAGAGTTGTGAGGCGACTGCAACGCAATCGTATCCAAATGCATGGGCAGGACCACAGGATTGAGTTAGAAACGCTTATCAGAGATCAGGGTTAAACACGCGTTTGCCTTGAGCTGAAAGCGAGGGCGACATAGCCTCAGTTGCATGAGTCCTTCAAACTGCATTTAGCATGCACCTGAGCAATTCCTCAAAGTAGGGGTACGATGCGGCCAGTTCGGGAATAAGAAGAAGATACCCACAAGAGGTAGAGCCGATTTCACGACTGTCTGTGGTACAGAATTAGTGAGCAGACGTCGATGAGAGACCAACTCTCTTGTGCCGTCATCTAGTTGCGCTATTACAACACGAAATGCAATTGAGACCTGCAGCTGAAGAGGAAATTTCGACCAGTGTCTATCTTTAGATCAAAGAACTGTCCCAGGCCAACGAATGCCAGATGCGCAGCGAACTGGACTGGGTTTCAAGGGCAGTTGGAAGAGGCGTTATTTACGACACCTATCGCGAAGGGCTCCCGCAGAGGGCTTTAGAGCTGTCCGCCCGCACCTGCTCGGCTCGAATCGCCTGTAACTTAGCCAAAGAGTCATGATCATTCGCGTCTCTTGCTAACCGAATCAAGAAACATGTCACTTTTGACTTTTTGAGATTAGATAGTAATTGCGATGCAGCAGCTTGATCAGCTGCTGCCCGCGTTTTAGCAGACGCGATACTCACGCGACGCCCAAAAAGCTCTATCCCTTGCGTAAATGTTTGCTTGACGTAGTCTCCCCTGATCTCAATATACTTGAAACGCGTACCTAATGCCATTCCAGGGAGGCCTTGCTTCACTAAGTACTCTTGGAGCTCTTGTTTCTTGCACATATAAGTTTTACGGCCGAGTGATTCGACTTCCCAAATAGGTAAAATTTGGGACTGAAAGAATCTTAGAGCCGCATCATATCCCCCATCGAGAAAGAGGGCACCGAGCAAAGCCTGTAGAAATAGTTCATACGCATATCCGTAGTTCCATGAGGAAGGAAATCTGGTTAGATTCCTCGAAATAAGTGAGCACATGGTTCCTCCAAAACATATAAAACCCCACAAAACCTTTTCGAGTAGCTTACTTCAAACATATCACCGTATCGCGAGCCTTTCTGGCCGCGTAACTCTTTCGCTTGCAAGAGGAACTGATCCAGTCCCAGTTGTCTGATTTTCGAAAAGCAAGAGAGATGAGCCAAATATCATATCCAAGTTAAACAAAACGGAATTAGTTCATGACAGATCTTTTAAGGACAGAATAATCTCGAAGACGCATGTTGTGGTACACGTACTCGCAGAATTTGTGCGCTTGGTCACGAGATAGAAGAAAGTGCGAAAGAGTACTCAACTGGCCCTCCGTTTTGGTAGCGTGGTGATTGTACAAACCCTCCATGACAAGAAGGCCATATACCCTATCTCCCAGAAGTTCTAACCGCTCGTTGTTGGCTTCGATTTCTCGGAAATGACCTTTGTCAGTTTCGTACATTAAATCGCACCGTTTAAAGTTGTTGTTGATTAGAGAGCGGTGAGACAATGCTTGTGCTAGCAGCGAACGATCCTTAAATTTGTGCTTCAGGATCGATTCGACGCGAGTAATTGAAATGTCCTGAAGCACAGTTTTTGGAGAGGTGTGCATTTTCATTCTCTGAGCAGCTTGGGGTGCTTTTTGGTGGGCATGAGCGCAGAATGCGTGGCAATTAAACTGTGAATAGCCATGCCTTGATCCATGTGGTCTTCGTGCGAGTCTTGTCCGGACATATCCGACCCGCAAAAATGCCCTATTCAAACCTGCCGCTTGCGTGAATGCCGGTATTCCCATCGTGAACACGAGCGTTGTGTTTCAGAATCTGATACATCTGCAACCATTCATGACGCCGATCGTTTTTGAGCTGGCCTTAACTGCTCTGAGTTCGTCTGTCGGGTCTAATCCCCCATTTGTTTTCGAGCATACGGGAGACCAAAAAACAACGAAAATATTTTTTGAAAAGTTTCCATCATCACTGGTGCTGCACTCAAGGACAGCTCTCACATGCTTATGTCAGGTATCCATGGGCACTCTATGCCTTTAAGGAAAGGTTACTTCCCCTTGGTCTCAACTGCGCTCTTGTTTGCTCTGCTTAGCAACCCCAACTATCTGACCGCGATCATCGCTTAACAACGTTGCCTGATCACCTTGTACCGTAGCCAACCGCGATGTCATTCATGCGATCCGTTCTCCGACTGTCCGCAAAGGCTCAAGCAATGCAGCGATGTTCTCGGTCCGTATCAACTAGCACTCGTCAGTTTCAGCGGACTCACCAACTGCTTCGTTCAGAGCACCCATCCACTACCTCAAGACCAATGCATTTAAGTCCGGCTTGCTCTCACCAACTAGCGATCAAAAGGGAGTTCAGCACAGCCCCCGGGTCTGATGGATCGGCTGCGGTTTCTGGTTTTTCCTACCCCGGACCACGCAAACTCAGTGAGGTTGTCAAGATACAGCTTTTAACAAAGCATGGAGCTCCTCGCGTACGTGAGATTTGGAACGAGTACCACAAAGACCACAAGTCTGCAGTTGGGGACACGCTATCTTTTGAAGAATATGGATTGCTTTTGCAAAGAACAGAACGTTGCAGACATTTTGTGTTTCCCGTGCCAAGGTAAGCATTTTCTATCCCCTCGATCACGCGATTTTCCCTTTTTTGAAGGCATGCGCGCAGTAATGTCTTACCGGATGTATGATTGCGTGTCCACAGAGGGAATGGTTACTTCACGCTGCTGGTGCAGTTCCAAGGAAAGCAATGCTTTATGACGTATCTAGAAGATTACAAACAGAACGCAGCGGGTGCGCAACCCTACCTCACAATCACGATGTTTGATGAAATGTTAGAGACAAAGGGCGTAGCGCTACTGCGTGGAGAAGTCACGAACCAGCTAACGGTACAGGAGGCAAAAGTGTAAGCGAGATCTTTCCTTGGCCGTGATTTAGCCTGCTACCGAAAGCAAGCTGTTGATGGTGAGCTAACCTTTTCACACATCTTCTTGACTTTCTTATTCTGTGTGATGGGCGATCAGTTTGATGGAGCTCCTGAAGCACTTTTACTTAGGGCCTCGGCGCAATTTTGATGCTGTTGTCGCATTCAATGAGGACGGTGACAAGTTTGACTTCAAGACTGTTCTACGAGCGGCTGGCGTTTCTTCGTAGCGTAAACGTTGTTGCTCATGAGTCGAGCTCGCCAGATGGCCACATCGCATCTTCTTTGTTCCGCCGAGGGAGACATTGCACTGTTTTTCCGAACATATGCGATTGACTCAGCTGACCACGACCTCACAGAATGTGCCTATGTAGCTATTTTATATGCAATTTATTCAGACCTGTCCTACTCCCGTCCTCTATGTTCTATTTCACGGACATCCTTGCTGGTCTACGCTAGTCGACGTGGTCGACGTGGTGAGGCAGTGCTACTCTCCGCTAGTACAGCGCACCACGGACGCAGTTCACGCCACTGCAGATGCGAGAACAGCTTTTGCATCTATAAAAGAATAGCCAAACCGAAGCAGCCTTGGTATGTCAGAGTTACAAGGCCTCCTTCACTTCACCTTGTCGTAATGGTCCGGCATGATGTCAGATGATACAAACCCGTTGTGTGCGGAGCTTGAGATACTCCGAGCTAGTTACGGCCCTGAACTTGAGATTTCTGCGGCAGGGGCAGATGTCACGCAAATTCGCTTCCAAGCAACTCCTAATGTTGGGCTAAGGAGCGAAGAATGGTGTTTTGCCGCAACTGAGCTCTTCATCACCTTTCCGGCATCCTACCCGACAAGCCCGGCTCAATTCAGTCTATCAAAGTCCCGTGGTCTAGAAAGTGCACAAATCAGAGAGCTTGAAGAACTGCTTCAGTCTGATGCCAAAGAGCGTTCCATTTATGGCGAGGTCCATGTTTTCAGCGCCTTGCAGAGAGTAGAAGAATTTCTTGCAGATCGCAACTCGCCCAATCCATGTCCAGTGTGCATCGAGGAAGTTGAAATTGATGGAAGCGGTGAAGAAGCGCCGCTGCAGCTTAGGCCATGTCTTCATGTAATGCATATGGCATGTTATCGGGGCTATCGCAGCCATATCGAAGAGAGAAGACGTGAGAAGGAAGCCAGCCTCGTGCACCGTGAAGGTCCGTCAAAAGCAGCCCGACTAGCAAAGATTCATTGGGCATTATGCCCAGTATGTCGCATCGACTTTGACTTCGAAAATGCCGATGAACTCCTCATCACACATGACAAAGAACGTTAACTAAATACTGTACCGTAACATATTAGACAGAGTGCGCGAATAAAAAACGCGCTTTACGTCTCCAAAATTGTCGTCACTTTCGTGTGCTTGAGAAGATCTGGATCGCTGGCTATGGCCGCAAGGATGAAAGTAGTGCCAGGGGTACACCTCTCGCCAACCGCAACCTTAACAACAACAGTCAAAATACCGTTGTTCGTTTCGCACCGAGCAGAATTGAGTTTTGCTTTAAGCAGCTGTCGAATATTGGGAATCGATGACATGCATATCTCTGCAGCGGACGTGTGCACGTCAGTCTCGATGAACGATTGCTGTCTGATTCGTTCCTGTCTTGTAAGGTCCCTATGCGGTGCCAGTATCACATTCGTCCCAGCTCCTTCTGTGCTGTCTCGAAGAGAAACGGCTTCGGCTGGCCTCATCCCGTTGATTTTCTCGAAGGGAGAAGCAAGGCGATTTACCGAGGCCAATACGTCAAGCAGTGAGATGGTCGTAACATACGAGAGGGTTCGGCATGCTTCACGTGTCTCAATATTTTGCACGGCAGCACTAAGTTCGCGATATAGAGTCACGTCACGGTCGTGAATACTTTCGAGTGTACGAGTCTCATCGACGGCAACAGTAATCAACTTGGTGCGACCGGCATGAATATATTGCATGAGGAGTGGAGGAAGGAAATGATCACGAGATCTTCCTTTTCTGTCATTCACGACATGGTATACATGCGAAAATTTCGTAGATGCCTCACACTCCTCGTTTCTGTAACCACCTCTCTTATTCTCAACTCCGTTCCAGAGATGCCGAAGCTCGCACAACCCAATTTCACCGTCCGCAGCTTTCAAGATATATCTTGAGTTTTTCAAGCTTTTGATTAAGCCATCGTAAGACTCTTTGCTGTTGGTAATGACGAGCACTCGAAATTTCGATCGTCTATGAATAGAGCGGAGCGATGCTGCTTGATTTTCCATTTCCCCTTCCATGCTCAAGAAGCTATTTTCCAAAGCCGTTGCCACTGGGTGTGTTTCAGAAGAATTCTTGTCGCTCGATTGGCCCGGCGCAGGAACATCTGCAAGAATACTTTGTAAAGCCGCTAACGTTTTGGATGACGCTGCCTGAGAATAGTGGTTTAAGTACGCTACCGCCGCGTTGTATCCATCGTAAAGAGCATAAGAACGAGCTTGTCGGAGACTGTACAAAATTTCCAGGGTATATCCGCTAGTCTCAGTTCTTTGGTGTGATACTTCCTCTCGGAGATGTTTTTCTAAAACAGTGATATCGACGTCCTGTAAACAACTGATACAGCCGCCTGTATTGCACTGCTCCGCTGCAGCAATTTTCTGATATGCTGGAAAGAAAGATGATGCCTCTGTTTCCAATAAGGCAATGAATTCAAGGACATCCCGCGGAGGAACAAGAAACAGAAAACTTCGCCGTGAGAGCAAGAGAAGATGTTCTATGTCATCTTTTTCCAGGATGAAATATGTGTCTTTCAGGTCGAGCAAATTGGCGAAACGAGGCACTTTCTGCGAGTACGATATCACTGTGTCATGAAAATAAGAAGGCAAGACGAGAACCGACGGTATGCTCTTCCATATGGATGCTGCACTCAAAACTTTCGTTCCAGATCTGCTCAGGCTTTGTGGACCTTCAAATAGGGTGGATGACACCTCTGGGGCAAACACAACCAAAAGAGCAAATCCCGGTGAAACTGTAAACTCGAAACTGTCAAGGATGACGACACGTGCTGTTTTTTTGGTTAGAGATGCAAGTGGAGGGTGTGTCGCAAAGTCTGCTCTTCTTGCAACATCTATAGATACTTTCCCGTCGAAGGTAAAATCGAGGTATGAATTCACTGTTTCTCCCATGCCTGCGTTTGGCTCGCATACTACTGCGACTCGATGATCGCACATTGGTTCGGAGAGGAACGAGTTAATAATAACTGCTAGAGCGGAGAGAAATGATAGCTGCGGTGGAAGATATACGACACCTCTGACGTTACAGCGAAGGAAATGAGCCGCGAGTTGCAAACTCGATGATGCGCAAACTAGATTTTCGGGAGCTTCCAAAAACAATTTACCACTCTCCTGCCTTGTGCCCACATCATGCCGTCTTTCAGCTCCTTCCTGAAGCTCCCCGAGAGGGGATAACCGTCCCCCCTCCCTAGCAACCGAATTATGGGATTTCCGGTTGATGAAGTTGGGACTCAACCCTTTTGCGTTTCGTTCATGCTCCTTAGTATGTTGTGCACCGAGCTCAAGAAGAGTGCTAAGAGGACCATCGTCAGCTCTGATTGCTTCACTGTCTTCAGCAGAATAAACAATAGCACGTAAGAAGCTTTCAAACGATTGAGACCCTTCCTCTTCTTGTTCTTCTGTTTCCCTCGAAGGAGTTTCTGCCCTTCCCATCTGTTGTGTCTTTGAATACATCGCTTGAATTGTCTCTCTGCCTGCCACATTGTGCCTTCGCTTCGGCGGGTCAAAGGTGTTTATACATTCTCGAATCCTTGACCTTCGCCACTTATTCGACAAATGGTTTTCTTCAGCGACACTTTTTTTCACGGCTCGAGCAAACTTGAGCCATCGTTTCGACGGAAATCTTTTCTTCTTCGTCAATTCGTGAAAAACTCCGAACACGGCGCTGGTCCTCTCTGTGTTTTGTTCGGATGCTTCCAACGAATATAATGGCAGATCCCTTTTGGCCAACGCTGGACATGGATGAATGATTCGCTGCGTGTGAAGTGGAGGAATGTCGTATACTAAGTGCTTTCGGTAGTATCGAGATTTCCTAAGGATTTCCCTGGAACCTTCGCACCAATACCCCATCTCGTATGTACGAAGGCGTCTCACGTATCTTAATAGGTCGCCCAATTCTGTGTTCCAAGCAGGGATCTTCAGCATCAGAGGCAATGGCAGAATATTTTGGATGCTCATGTATTGATCCTTCTGTCGAAGAAGAACACCCAAACAAACGATCGGGGTTTGAAGTCGTTCGCAATGCGAAATTCTTTGCTTCACAAAGAATTGCTCTTCGAATTGAGTTTTCTGCACTTGTATGGAAGGCTTTTCAAGTCCAAGTGTGCCAATGCCCGCAATCTTTCTGCACATTTCAGTGATCGTAACTCTGTGCATCGTGAAGAACGAGTTCGTATCTGAGTCGGAGTAGTCCACATTCTTACACAATAGTTGGGTACACAGCGTTGTTGTTCGCTGTCGGTATTTTGCTCTGATAACAGATTCTAAGATTGGAGATTCAGGCTCGACACTTTCTCGAGGTACACTAGCGATTGAACAGGGCGATTTGACAGCGGCATCCTGGAAGTAGCTGGAACAAATCGAACAGGTGATTTCAAAACATCCATTGTGTCTGACGAACTCATCAACTGCACTATTGGTGCAACTTGATTTTGCGTAAAGAAGCTCTTTGTCGAATAAAACATTCCTGTGGGCAGAGGATACGGGTGTTGGCCTGACCTGTTAGGAAGAAAATTTGCGCCGACTTTCGCAGTAATTTTTGATGGAAGCAGTGCTCACTTACGACATGATATCAGCAACGATCATCTTCTTTCTTGGTCTCGTTTTCCGTATCGCGACAAAAGAACCGAGCAAAATCCCAGCGTAGTCGTCTTCGTAGAACATATTGGACGGTAAGACCGGCGGTGTGTTGGAGGAGAGATGTTCTTGAGGGAGGAGATGGATGTGGTCGAAATCCCCATCGAGAATAGCCGATATAGCTTTATTCCAATCTGCACGTCTCTGAGAAGTTGTTTGCCGAATCCCGTTTCTCGAGTGAACAACCCCTTCGCACTGTTTCGTAAGATATACTTCCCATCTAGTGATATCAATGAGCGACTTCCCACATGCCTTCTCCTTCTTTCCCCTACCACCCACACAACAATGAGAAAAAAATTTCACTTTCAGATACGAAGCCGGGAACACGTTTCTGGGAGGAAGAAAAAGAAGTCATTAAGGGTTCAGTTAGAGTCATTATTATGCGCTTTGGTGAACGGAGAGCGCTGAGACAGTAAGTGAGAATACACTAACCTCTTGACATTTCGCACAAATTCCCATGGAGCCTTCTCGCAGGCTGAACTCGTTGCGTCTTTTCCTTGTAGCGCATCGTTCTCGTTTCGGTGTCGTGAAGTTGAAAACCAATCATGGAAAATCAAGTGAAGCCGCACAGGACCCCACAGATGCTTCATTGAAGACTTTGGCTTCAAAAGGAAAAGTGGGCACTCAACTAGTTGTAACTGAACATGTGCGCTGGAGACCTCGCCTCAGAAGGTAATCAAATATTATGTTTCAGAGGTTTCAGAGGTTGAGGAAGACAAAACGTTTTGCCTGGTGGCGTCGCAAATTCTGATCACCGTCGCGAAACGAAAACGTTTTTTTTTCTTCTTTTCTTTCGCTCTTCGCCGGGTATACGCTTCTGTGCCACTGTCTCTCTAAAGGGATGCTCGTGTCCCGTACATCTGGAACAACAGTCTATACCTGACTGGCTCTCGGCCATTTACGTCCTGTGCTCGGGGTGATCGTACTACTCAGGATAAGATGACGAACATGATGAGCACCCCCCTAGAACGCATTCTCACCAAGTTCCAGCCATACTGTCAGCATTCAAATATAGTGCAAAAGCTACTGCCGAGCATAGAAGCGCTCGTCGCCGATGCCTTGAGTCCCAGAGAAAACGCCATGGCTGCAATCAAGAAGCTCATTTCTCAAAACAACAAATTTCCAAGTCTTTTTCTTCCTAAACCGATTGTGCGGTTTTCGCTCGAGGTGCAACGGGTAAGCAAGTTTCATCGACGCATTATTGAAGCAGGGATTGTGAAAACAGTCTTGGCATGGAACGGGAGCATCGGAAGGGAATTGCTGAAGTATTGCAATCCCAAGCCGACTCGAAAACGTGACATGAACAACCTTGCTGTACTCCCGCCACGGACATCCCTGATGTTTTTGACCAGTCGAGAGCACGAGAGTGAAGAAGTGGTTTGTCCGAGGACTTCGTTCCTACTGTCCAAAGACGGACATGGATATGAGCGGCCACCACTTGAAGAACGACTCGCACTGGTCGACCATGACATTGCTAATTTCAGGTTTTTCACTGTTCCACAGCGAGGAAGCCTGAGAAAGCTGGCACTTTCTGATAGCAAGCACATCACCAATTTACCAGCTGTTGTGTGGCTGAGAGAGTCGAGGTGGCACCCACGGTAAGAAGTATGAGTTGTCAGAATCGCAGGGTCGTAAGGGCAACGCATTCGCGAAAAGCAAGAAGTGTGGGCGATATTGAAGCGGTAGTGAAGTAATGTGTACCAGGCGGAGTTTATCTTATAAGAAAAATACATCCTAACACCCCTTCGCAGCAACACACCTAGACGCACAAGTTGACAGAAATGGTGAACAACGAGTCGCAAAACTTCTAGGCGTCTCCGTGTGGCCTAACGGGGCTTCTTCCCTTGAGTTCAGTAACGAGCCAATTTATACCTTTCATCAAGCTCTCGCGGTTGTTAGCAGAACAGGGGAAGATCCGGAAAGTGTCAACGTGAATGTAATTGACCTTGAGTACTTTTTCCACTTGCTGGGTAGAGACAGCAGTAGGAGTGTCCTGCTTGTTAGCAAAGATGAGGAGCGGGCGGTCATGTTGGATAGAGTTGCGCTTGGAGTGTCCTTTGTATAAACTTGCAAGCTCTGTAGAAGCGAGTTTTAAACGCTCGACATCTGAGGAATCGACGACAAAGATAACAGCATCGGCATCGCGAGAATACTGGCGCCACAGCGTGCGGACTTGGTCTAAACCACCAATATCCCAACATTCGAGTTCAAGTCCATCGACAGTGACGCTCTCCTGATTGAGACCGAGAGTGGGAATAGTTTCAAGGCGCTTTCCAAGTACCAGCTGGTAGAGAATAGTGGTGGCGCCTGCACCGTCGAGGCCGAGGACGAGAACACCTCGGGAACCGGCGTGGCGGAAGTGGGATGCGGACATACATGCTCCCATGATGACTAGTTTTTTTGGTGAAGAGTTGAACAAGTGCTTAGGTGGCAGTTGGGGCGAGCAGAAAGAGGGCACGGATGCAGAGAAGTGGAAGGAGAAGGAAGAATTTGTGTGGTTACGTGTGTGTTTGTGAGTAGAGGAATCTACAGGTAGTTATGCAGATAGGGGTGAAACGTTCTTTGCGGGGGAGGCAGGTTTGGTTGAATTGGACAGGACCGACGAAAAGTCGAGGGGGAACGTATTGTCTTGGAAGTCACAGAAGGAGAAATGGGTGGGAGCGAAGAAACGGAGGGCTCGGTGAGAAGGGTGCGGGGGTGCGAGGCTGCGGGTGATGATGCGAGTAACGGGGTGAGGAAGTACGGAGAGTGTGAGAGGAATTGGTGTGCATATGTGGCGGAGCGGAAACCAAGAATAGCAGGGAAGTTGCGGGCCAGGCGAGAAAGACGAATGTGCGCAAGGAGCGGGGCGGGTGGTGGGGAAGTGGCTGTACTTTGGCTGCGGAAAGCAGTGGAGTTGAGTCGGAGGAAGGAGGGGGGAGGGGAAGGAGGGAGATGGGGAAGGAGGGAAGGGGTGGTTGGTCTTTAAACACAAGAAGAGGTCTTCTGGTTACACTAGTGTGCATATGCATGCGGGGACCGGGTGGGAAGGGGAGGGGGCGGAACCGGATACATGGGGAGCAAGCACGCGGACACGGGGCGCGTGCTGTGGGCCACTCACCGGGGAAGTTCGTGTGGCAGGGGCGACGTATCTGGGTCCAAACGACGCATACCCAAATCGCCTTTTGGTATGTCTCCGCCTTGCCGCGAGGCGTGGTGCTCGACCCGGTTTCTCCGCCCTCCGTTTTCCGGGCCGCACTTTTATTTTTACCCGTCGCCCGCGACGCCTTCCATCCTCGCGCCAACTACTCCCCCTCCACCCTACTTCCGATTCCTACTTCCGTTTACTCTTCCTCGTATACACCTCGCTTTACCCCTCTCCCCGCCTGTGCCCCCCAGCGCGTTATCCCTTTCTCAGCCGTACATTCCCCTTTTTTGTCCCCCATGCTCCACTTTCTGCTTCGCGCTTCATCTCCATCTCACATCTAAATCTCTAAACCACCCCACGTGCCGCACTCGCCCAGCCCAAACACCAATCTCGATCTCAACGGGCGTCCGTTTTCAGCCGTTCGCCACTTCTCGCTCACTCTATCCGCCTCTGCAACAAGATTGCATGCAGCCCCTTGCCTAAAAATCTCCACTGCCTGAGGCCCGTTCGACACCGCCCTGCCGCAGAGTGAAATCTCCAATTCCAACAAACCTCTCCGCTTTGCCGCGCCACACAGTCGCCGCAATTCCATTCCCCAACAAAATCACATACTTCCCATTCCTCCCTGTCCCGTCCGAAAATATCTTTTTCTCACGTGTCATACAGTACTGCGCCATTGCTGCGCCGTGTCAGCTCGCAGGCAGATACAAGACACTTGTACTGTAGCGTACAAGTACTGTACAGTGTACTCCGGCAGTGTACAGTGTACACAGCGTACACTGCCAGACTGTCTCGTATGACAAGTCTCCCAGCATAGCCCACATAAACTGTGGAAAAACTATGTGTGTCCGCCACCATACATACAGTATCAGGGTGTCTTCGAATAGATAGATGACTGGAATCATGAATTGATAGATGGGTAACATAGGGCATGTTGTAATAATCAGCTCGCACGTATTTGCCCCTCTATGTTTCACCATCTCGCTCTCAACACCTGTCTCCCATCATCTTTCTCCTAGTCCTTCTCCCTCGGCATCTTATCTGGACATAAGAAAAAGGGTTACACCTCCCCCTCCTCTTTACGTTCACAACAATGCTCACACGAGCACAAACACGCAAACCCACCATCTAGTGAACCCTCCATCCTCTCATTGTCCCAAAGATCACCCCCTTTTCATCCGCTTTCCTTCTTGATCACCCCTGACCACTTCATCATCCACATATGCGATGCCACCCTGGACCCGTCACCTGACCCGCATCAATCCATCCGCACGTGTTTCCTTTCTACAGCTTTTGCTACTATTTCTTGGAGTACTTTGACGCCTTTGTAATTTAAAAGTCAAACATGCTTTACCCAATGAGTCCACTACCTAGAGAGCAGACCGCTTTCTCTTTCCTTCTTTCTGTGCGATATGGTACGCGTCACTTAACCCCGCAAAAATCGATCCGTACGTGTCTCCTTCTTCGGTCTTGGACTTGTACGAATATTAACCACGTCTCCAATGCTGTAGAGTCCATGACGCCTTTGTAATTAAAAAGTCAAACATGCTTTCCCCAATGAGTCCGCTAGAGAGAAGATAGAGAAACCAGACTGGTTTCTCTATCTTCCTTCTGTACGATGCCACGCTGGACACGTCACCTGAGCCGCGCGAATCGACCCGCATGTGTTTCCTTTCTACAGCCTTTGCATGTTCGTACGAACGCCTTCCATGTCTCCAATTCTGCAGAGTCCATGACTTTGTAATTTGATAGTCAAACATGCTTTCCCTAATGACTTCATTAAAGAGCACACAGGTTTCTCTTTCTTACATTCTATGTGATTTTGGACCCCGCCACTCAACCCGCATTAATCGACCGGCACGTGTTTCCTTTCCACAGCCTTTGCAACTTCGTACGAACGCCTTCCATGTCAAGTACTGAAGAGTCCTTGACGACTTCGTAATTTGATAGCCAAACATGCTTTCCCCAATGACTTCATTAGAAAGCACACACGCTTCTCTTTCTTACCTTCTATGTGATGTTGGACCCGTCACCCAACCCGCACCAATCGACCGGCACGTGTTTCCTTTCTACAGCCCTGCCCTAGAAGTTCGTATGAATGACAAATATGTCTCCAATACTGAAGAATGCATGACGACTTTGTAATTTGATAGTCAAACATGCTCTCCCCAATGAGTCTACAAGAGGGCAGACCGGTTTCTTTTTCTTCCTTTCTGTAAGATGCTAGATCCGTCACCGAACCCGCACCAATCGACCGTCACGTATGGGCTTTTTTCAATTTTAGAGGTTCCCATGATTGACAAACATCTCCACTAGAGGACATTGACACCTTTGAAATTTGACAGTCAAACATGCCTACCCTAATCAGTCTACTAGAGAGCAGACCGGTTTCTCTTTGTTCCTTTCTCAAATACACCTTCCCCAATGAGTCTACTAGAGAGCAGACTGCTTTCTCTATCTTCCTTCTATGCGATGCCACGCTGGACACGTCACCTGAGCTGCACGAACCGACCCGCATGTGTTTCCTTTCTACAGTACAGCCTTTGAAGGTTCGTTGAATGACACCCATGTCTCCAATACTGTATTCATGACGCCTTTGTAAATTGAAAGTCAAACATGCTTTCGATAATGGGTTCTAATAGAGAGCAGACCGGTTTCTCTTTCTTCTAGCTACTGTAGCTAGTGTCTAGAGCTAGATGACAAGCGATTTGCCTCATATGAGGCGCCTTTTTTTGCAAAAATATTTACATTAAATCGAAACTCTATAAAGTCAGCTTGGACACCATTTCTTTGACGTATATGCCCTCGGCAAGAACATATTGCAAAACATTGGGATAGAATTTGTAAATACACAGAAAGACTAAGAATCTAGTGAAGTTACAATATTCGGTTCATGTTTTAAACAGGCATTTTGCTTTCAAAGATATCAACACAGAACGTTTTGAGGTTATTCAAAAAAGCTTCTTTTTTATGCATTCTAAAAATGGCTGGAAAAGACGGGCAAATCTCACCAAACTCCACCCTTCAGCAACGCAGAAGTCAACTGCGGTGGCGAGAGTATCTTTCTCCTTCATGTTGGGCACAAGTCGAGAAAAAATAAGTTGAAAATTGACCTCATATGGGGTCACTTGTCGTCTAGACACTACAGTAGTCTCTCTTTAAAAGAATGACCCGCAAAAGAATATTCTTTTTAGTAGAATACATACTGTTTCCCGTCCTGGGAATGGCCAAAACAACCCTATTTCATGACATCTATCCATATGCGACATAAGAACATAGTATGTCGAATGTCGCTCTATCCCATGGACCACCGCAATGGACCCAGACTCTACTCCACGGAGACCTCAGCCAAGAGGTCTTACGAGTCTCAGTCCGGCGACACACATATCGCACGCCCTCGAACACACGCCGGCCGCCATCGCTCACACGCCAGCAGCTCTTGCTCACACGCCGACCACCCCCACAAGCACGCCAGCAGCTCTAGCTCACACGCCGACCACCCCCACAAACACGCCAGCGGCTCCTGCTCACACGCCGGCCGCCCTTTCACACACGCTAGGGTTTCATGGTGTTCGTTTGCACATGACGCTCTGGGCGAAGACGGGCAGCCCGTTTGTATTTTGGTGCCGTTCGTGACCTTCTTTTTCGGCGAGGAGCCTTTAAAATTGTGAGAGTCGCCAGAGCCGCGACAAATGCGGCTGTAGACGCTGCGAGAGCAGCAACAGCGTGGCGAGGACGATGCATGCCAAATGTGGCGGAGTGGAAACGTCGGGTAGCGAAGTGGAGACATCCCAGGGGGGTCCCTCCGCTTCGCCTGGAGTGGCGAATATTCGCCACTTTTCACGACCTCTGATTGGGTGAGAAGTGGCGAAGTGGCGGAATTTTATTTCCTGGATGCACCCAGTACACATTTTGGCGGTAATTCTTAGCCAAACCGAAACACATTTTTCCCGGAAGATACCATACCCTAATAAACCCTTGTTCTTTTGCCTCAAAAATGAGCCTGGTTTCACTATCAAACGCCTAAATTATTTAAGAGCATGCTGTCCAGCGTCAGAAGGTTCTAATTTGAAATGTCCTCAATTGAGGACTTTTCTGTTCTCAATTCAGGAAAAAAAAAAGTCAAATAGACACTAGGCCTATTTCCAAGATTTATCGCTCACAGAGCCAAGATACTGTACATTTTACACCACTTCTATACCAAATGGCTCCTCTGCCAGAGGCCAGGCAACCACTTCTGCACGCCACAACTGTGATTTCTTCCCAAAACCTTTGGTAGGGAATGGTCCCGCTCTCTCGCCCGCTTCGTGCTCCATACAACTCGTGCAACTCATATATAACCTCCCACTCATTTGCAATAACAAGTAAAACAATCACACATACATACATACAACCATGAGGCATCCGACCCCGCACCGTCCACGCACCGCTTCAAATATCTAACCCCATAAGGACGTCATCCCCCACGTCCTTCCCCATACCGTCGACATCGGCAAACACTTCCTCATCAATCATCACATCCTCGGCCTCCTCATTGGCCTCTTCGGCGCCATCGTCCTCCATCGCCATCTCCTCCTTCTGCGGTGCGACTGGTTTCTGCGCGAGCACACGAGCGACCAGGTCGTGCTCGGCATACTGCCTTACCAGCTTGCGCTTGCGCTCCAGCTCCTCGTGTAACCGCGCGATCTCCCTCACCTGCTCCGCACGCGTTAGGCACCCGCCTGGCAGCCGGTCCAGCATGCCCTCGCACCGCTCGAAGCGCTCGCGCAGCTGCGTGAGCGCGCGCGTGGTCGCGGTGGTGTCCGCGCCGTCGTGAATCAGCCGCAGCGTCTCGCCGACCAGCGACAGGATCTGGAACGATGACACTAGCTCCGATCCCGTCGGCACGGGCTTGCGCGCCTCGTCGGGCATCATGGTCGCGGCGCTGCCGAAGGGGGGGAACGCAAGGGAGGGGGGGGGGCCGCGACGACGGCGGGGAGCCGGAGGAGTGGAGTGGAGTTGCGCGCGAGGCGGAGATATCTCTGCGCGTATCTGGAGAGAGGCCGACGGGAGCGACGGGGAAGAGGGGAGCTGAAGGTGAGTTGGGGTGAGGTGTTGGATTGAGAGGGAGGGGTTAAGACGGGGCAGGTGTTGCTCGGGCGGCGGGAGCCAATAGAATAAGTCGACATTTTTTTAATTTCGTCAGCGAATGGTCGATGTCGCGTTTCAATTTGTCGCTTGCGCCTGCATCTCACTTCAAACGCCTCTACACGTGCACTAATAAACCAAACAATTTTGACTCCACCACTTTACCCACTTCCCGCCACCGCCCTCC